CCTACTAATTCTTTCCTTAATAATGGTTTCCACCAATTTACCCGGTATCGACGTCAGACTGACTGGCCTGTAATTTCCCGGATCTCCTCTGGAACCCTTTTTAAAGATGGGAGTGACATTTGCTACCTTCCAGTCCTCAGGAATGGAGGCAGATTTTAAGGAAAGATTACATATTTTAGTTAGGAGATCCACAAGTTCACATTTGAGTTCTTTCAGAACTCTCGGATGTATGCCATCTGGGCCTGGTGATTGATCACTTTTTGAGCTGTCTATCAGTTTTAGGACCTCCTCTCTCGTCACCTCAGTCTGACTCAGGTCTTTCAACACCCCTCCCGAACTCAGCGGTTCTGGAGTGGGCAAGCACTTCTCATCTTCCACAGTGAAGACGGAGGCAAAAAATGCATTTAGCTTCTCAGCCATTTCCCTATCCTTCAGTACTCCTTTTACCCCTTGGTCGTCCAAGGGCCCCACTGCCTCCCTGGCTGGTTTCCTGCTTCTAATGTATTTGAAGAAAGTTTTATTGTTGGTCTTTACATTTTTTGCTATATGCTCCTCATATTCCCTTTTTGCCTGCCTGACTACAGACTTGCATTTTATTTGCCATAGCCTGTGTTCCGTTTTATCAGCCTCACTGTGACTAGCTTTCCACTGCTTAAAGGAATCCTTTTTACCTTTTACAGCTTCCATTACTTTGTTTGTTAACCATGCAGGCTTTTTCCTATACCTGTTTGTGCCTTTCCTAACCTGCGGAATATATATATTTTTGAGCTTCTAGGATCGTAGTTTTAAATAGTTTTCCAAGTTTCCCCAATGGTTTTGACCCTTTCTACTTTTCCCTTCAGTTTCCTCCCCACATGTCCCCTCATATCATTAAAATTACCTCTTTTAAAGTTAAAAGTGGTTGTGTGAGTCTTTTTGGCCAATTCCGTATTTGTACAAATGTTGAACTCAACAACATTATGATCACTGTTCCCAAGTGGTGCAAGATAGAATGACATCAGTAATTTCCCAAGCGGTGCAAGATAGAATGGCATCAGTAATTTCCTGTTCCTTAGTAGGGGTGTCTAGGAAAGCGCTATCTTCTTCCAAAAGTTTTGGAATTATATGTGGTCTTTTGAAAAATTGTACTAGCTTAGGACCATCAGTCATTACAGAAGAATATAACCAGTATGTTGCTAAAGTAGATGGGCGACAGGGATAAATGGCAGCCATCCTAGTGCTGTCCTCTGTAGATATAGTTATATGCACAAAACCACACCTAGAGCAGTAGAGACCTAATGCCATAGGTAAAAATATTACTTCCCACAACATAGAATGTGGGTGACTGATTGCAGGCTAGTTTTGTAATTTTAGCTACTTGTTGACTTCCTCCATTAAGGATGAAGATTGCATACTCTGTAGCTCTCATGTTTAATGAAGTAGTTTGCTAACCATATTCAGTCCTTCGAACCTCTTTTTAAAAATTGGCTTTGTTTTAAATAAAAGTATATTTTCACTCTTTATGTTCCCCAGTATTCACTGTAAAAAGCAGGTTGTGGGTAACTGCCATTATATGTGACTTAATACCTGTGGGTTTGGGTTACTTACCCAAAAAGAACAGCGAACTAAGTATTTTAGAAAGATAGCATATTAGATAATTCAATATGCTATTTCAGAAAATGAGAATTGGTGCAACCTTGTTCAAAACTTGTACAAATTACAGCGTTGTTCTAAATAATTACATCCTTCTAAGGCCTTTGATTTCAGTGGTGTAATGCTGTTTAGGATTGTATTACCAGTCTGATTAATGCCCAAATTAATTGATAGAACTTCTGGTATTTCATATTGGCAATAAGTAGATAATGCAATTTAATCCTATCCCTGGCCTTTTTTTTTACTCTCAGGAGGCAGAGTGTGGTCTGCATAGACTTGAATTCTGCTTCTGCATAGTAAGCTTCTGCTTTGATTGTACTGTTTCCTACAGACTTAAAGAAGGTCTCTCCTACTTAAAGAGTTAGAAACGTCTGGACAAAAACTCATTAAAGTGCCCTAGTATTCTTTTTCCTGTTCACTGTGCATGAGGTTGGTGCCAAAGATGCCCTGTTGCATGCAGAAGATTATAAAATGCTCCTGTGACACAAGAAAAGTTAAACTGAAATTGTGTGTTTTTACTCTAAAAGCTAAACTGGAATGAAAAACATTTTTGGGTAATTGGTTCAGGAACACAATCTGGAAGCTTAGCAAGCACCAGTTCAACTTCCAAAATCTATATCAGCACTTCAGTATTATGAAATATGCAGTATGCAAAATGGATCTTGGATAAGAGTCGAGAAGCTTGTATAGTTTGTGCAGTTGTTCAAAATCTGGAAAGTCTGGAGTGAAATTTCAGATATAAGGGTACTTTAATAATGATTGGGTTTTTCAATAATAATATCTACTATCTAAATTGTATTGATTTAAGGTAACCAAGACTTAATTACAACTGCATGGGCTGTGTATAATGATATACCTTTAGAGTCTGATGTTGCAAAGTTAGGCTAAATACAAAATTTACATCTATTCTTAAAGCTGCGAACTATTTATGTTATAGTCTGCCTTTCTCCCTGAGACTCACGGTGCATAATGTAAGTCAGTGCAATCAGTAGGTTGGGGAGACGTCTCATAATCTGAAACAAGGCATAAATATTAACCATGGCATGTTAATGTGAGTAATGTTATTATTTCAATTTATTATTCTTCACATCTATTATTCTTTACATTTTTTTCTAGGAACAAGAGTTTTTCTGCACTATGATAAATTCTAAATATCTTTCAATAGTTTGTTTCAATTATTTCATTTGTGGGGTTGTTTGTTTATTTGTTTTGGTTATTTACCTCTCCAGTAGGCAGCTTATACTGTCCCTGCCTAGATCTATAAAGTGCTACCGCACATATATTGTGTTGGTATTTCTGGAACTCAAAGCAACTGGACTTCCTTTTCCTGCTGTTTGATATTGACTGACTTGACTTAACTTTTTTCCAATAGATAAAATATTATGGATTTGATCATCTAGTGCTGGGACTTGGTGTGAGAAACTTGCACAGTTGTCATATTTTAATTGATGAGGCAGATTATTAATACCATAAATGCAGATCATTGAAAGTAAAAATAATCTGTACTTTGTGTGCTTTTGGCATGCTGTATGTTGCACCACAACTTGATTGTAAAGCATTTGGTAAAATTAATAGCTAAAATATTTAATATTTCATTTTAGCTTTTGGAAATCAGTTACCACCCATGCATCAGCAACAAAGGTAAGATCCTGCTTTTTAACTGATTTTTCTAGAAACTCTAACGTGTGTTAGGTTCTTTCTGAAACTTCTAAAACAATGTACTGAATTCCATGTAATAAGAACATTACCAAAAGGAACAAATGTTGAAATGAGTCTAATTATTATGGAAACCTCAATCTGTTAGGAAGAGAGTAGTTACTAAGAATGACTCATGTAGCTACAACACAATAATAGGAATAATTAGAGGTTGGATATACATGTGTACTGCCAGACAGTGTTCCCTCTAAGCTAAGTTAGTGTGAACTAGCTCAGTTTTTTAGCCTCCGACTCACATATTTTTGTCTTAGCTCAGGAACGATGGCTCTAGAGCAAACTAATTTATGCAGTAGCCAAATTGCTCGCTTACAGCTTTAATGCCAGTAGCTCACAAAGTAGAATTTTTGCTCACAAGACCCCACAGCTTAGAGGGAGCATTGTTAGTGTTCCGTATAAGCAGTATTGGACCAGAGAAGTGCACTTGGATGATTTGGGATCGGTTTGAAGCCTCTAACACAGAGGTGCCCAGCCTAATTCTGACTGTGGGTACTCCTGAAATTTTAAGAAATGGTAGTGGGCACCAGTGTTTTCTCTAAGCTCCACAGTGTTGTGAGCAAAAATTCTACTAGAAAGCTAGTAGCATTGAAGTTGTGAGCAAGTTTACATTTGATTATTGTGTAAATTATTTTAGAAGATTATTTCCATAACCTTGTAAAAATCTAAGAATGAATTTTTAAACTATATTTAAACTATATTTTAAGAATAATTTAAACAGTAGAAGAGAAAACAGAATCAAGTCAAATTTCATTACACAAAATGTTGTCCTCAGCAGGTACCAGACCTCCAGAGAACAGGTCTACCTGCCCCTTTCCACTATATTGGTAGACCTGGCCTTGGCTCTGACCCTTAGAAAACATACCAGCACTTGCGGGAGGGGAACTCTTGCAGTCTACTTTGGGGGGTTTTTTAAAAGTGAAATATGACAACCAGCATTACAGGTGAAGCATAATAGAGGTGGAACAATCACTGTCAGAACCCTGCCTAACTTAAACAGGAAGTTGCTTAAATGTTATCAACCTGCCCAAGCTACTTATTTATTCAAATATTTATATCCCACTTTTCCCTGTGACTCAAGGCAACTTACAAATCATACTGAAAAACATAATAGGAGTGTGCAAAAAAGTCATCTTTTTTCTGGCTCAATTATAGCCTATGGGGGACCATTGTAGTCAATGGGCCTCATAGGCTATAACGGAGAATCGATCCAGGGGTATCTGGGGGGGGGGGCTGTTTTTGTTTTGTTTTTTTGAGGATAAGGTAAAGGTTTCCCTTGCTCAAAAGCCAGTCGAATCTGACTCTAGGGGGTGGTGCTCATCTCCGTTTCCAAGCTGAAGAGCCAGCGTTGTCCAAGGACATTTCCGTAGTCATGCGGCCGGCATGAGTAAACACCAAGGTGCACGGAACTCTGTTACCTTCCCACCGAAGCAGTTGTTGTTGTTCAGTCGCACAGTCGAGTCCGACTCTTCGCGACCCCATGGACAAGATCTCGCCAGGCCCTCCTGTTTTCTGCCGTCCTCTGAAGCAGTACCTATTCCTTTACTTGCAATTTCTTGCTTTTGAACTGCTAGATTGGCAGGAGCTGGGGCCAGAAATGGGAGCTCGCTCTGTCATGCAGCGCTAGGGTCTCGAACTGCCAAACTACAGACCTTCTGGTCTGCAGCTCAGCATCTTAACCTCTGAGGCACTGTGGCTCCTTTTGAGGTAGAGGCACCAAATTTGCTGTGTAACTCCTGGTGCCTCTTCACAAAAAAAGCCCCCAAGTTTTAAAAAAAATTGGACCAGGGTTCCAATTCTATGGGCCCCAGAAGGAGGTGCCCCCATCCTCCATTGTTTGTGAGCTGAAGCAGAAATCCTGTGAGCTGGCTTCTGAAATGCTGTGCGCCAGCGCCCCTTAGCACAATTTAGAGGGAACTGTTGTGGGCACTGCCACAAAATCACTTCCATGGGGGCTGAGGTTAGTCAGAGAATGTTGGGAGCAATGTTCCCTCTGTGCTGTGGAATCTTGTGAGCAAAAATTCTACTTTGTGAGCGACTGGCATTAAAGTGGTGAGCGAGCGATTTGGCTGCTGCATAAATTAGTTTGCTCTGGAGCCCTCCTCCCTGAGCTAAGACAAAAATGTGTGAGCCGGAGGCTAAAAAACTGTGAGCTAGCTCACACTAACTCAGCTTAGAGGGAACACTGGTTGGGAGATGTCAAGACAAACATCCTTTTATGATGGGAGGTAGTTGCTTCCAAATGGTGATGCCTTCTGCACTCTTCTGAAGTACTTCCTGCCCCAGTGAAGTGGAGAAAGTTAGAACTGGCTTGACGTTTTATGGATGAAATGCTGTGGGGGAGAAACAAGTGGGCACCAGGAAACACATTGGTAGATGTCACAACATGGGTGCCATGTTGGGAATCACTGCTGATGATTTTTAGGAATAAGTAATCTAGTAACAATATAAAGGTAAGTGCTGGGGAGAATGTTAGTGCTAGTTTGCAGAGTCAAAGAGGAAGACTTAATTGTTAGGTTATCCTCCCCACCAAAACAGAATGAAACTGTTCATAAGCAAATACTAGCCAACTCGGCATGATGCCAACAAAGTGTTGTTGTCAGTTAGACTGCAATCAAATCCTCTTCTGTTAGTACCACAGCATATGGTGCATGCCAAAAAAAATTACAGGTTGACTCTAACCAGCATTTCCTCTGCTGAAAGAGAGGCACCCTTTTTGACTCTCCAGAAGTCTCTGGGTAGGGGTGTGCAAGGTAAAAAAAAATCATTTTTTTCCAGATTTGGGTGTATTGGACCCCCAAAACCCAGCATTTCCCAATATTTACAACCACAACCACAAACTGAGTGAGGGGGAGGGGGTTGCAAGGACAGCAGAGCTAGTGCAGTAGTACCCAGCAGCACAACCCAGTGCCAGTGTGGCAGCAGTGCAAACAGAACAGAACTAACCAATGTCACACCAGAGAATCACAGTAGGATTTTTTAAAAAAATCTAGGCTATTATTATTATACCACTATTTTTATTTTAAGTCAAGACGATTACACTACTGTTTTGAAGACACACACAACCTTGCCTCTTTTAATATCCTAGCCCTAGTTCCTCCCTAGTTAGGATCTAAAGCTCTATGTTAAAATTTATTTAAAAGTGTTTAAAAGTTAAACAATTCCTACAACAGACCCTTTATTGCTAAAAGCCTGTTTAGCAGCACCTAAGTATTGTACACAGTAGCCCTAAATTGAAACCAGAAGCACACACACAGAACAGTGAAACACTCCCCTCTCCAGAAAACCAACCTTCTAGATATTAAAGGGAAGAAATATGGGGGGACAGGGGGAGTTGGCCTCACCTCCCCCCCCCACAACCTACCACCCACCAAGCCCAAAGAACAACTAACAGTAAAATAAGGAAACTTAAACAAAAAAGATCAGTCAGACCACACTGTCTTCAGTCTTCTCCGGGCAGGCATGCAAGATCTGATCCAAAGTTCACAACAGAGTCTCTCAGACAGCAGGAGTCAGGCTCAGAGCAGCAGCTGAAGCCAAAACCACTGCTTTGGCTTCAGGAATAAGCCACTCTCCAAACCTTTCTCTGCAATGGAGTCTAGCTCAGCCAGACTCTTGCTTTTATGCTCTTTGCCCATGCACAGAAGAATTTCAAAAAAGAACAAACTTCTGTGATTGGCTAAAGAGCAGTGTTTTCCCCTAACCTTTGGGTCCAGTTGTTCTGCTCCTTCAGACCAGCATGGCTACCCACCTGAATCTATACCCCTATCCTGAAATCCTATTTGCCAAATTGCCACTGCTCCTTCCCTCCCCCTTCCCTGGGAAATGGGTGGGGAAAGCAAGGTAGTTAGCTGGACTTAACATCTGAAAGCCAGCAACAACTTTGCAAAGTTGCAATGCAAACTTGGAATGTAATGCACTTTGCAAATGCATTGTAGTAATTGGCTCTAAGGCCTAGTTGCCTCTTCCCCCTCCCTCCTATTGCCCTGGAAACCAGAGCAAAAGACGGAAAGAGCCCTAAAGTAGAGAAGTGAAAGATAACTTTGTAGCTCTTTAAAGTTTAAACCTCTCCAGCAGCAGCTATTCGATATTGCTGAATAAAGCTGAATAATTTTGGCTTTTTTCTGTATTCTATATATCGGTGGCTGAATCAGATTCTCTAATCTCTATTTAGTTTAGGAAATACCCGTAAAATATCTTTCAGGTATTTATTTGGCTCAGTTTATACCGAATGTACAAGGGTAATTAGGTATGATTGAAGGGGAAAGCTGGCTGGATCCTACCCAAAGAGTGATCAGAATATATTTCTTGGTGATAGCTGTTAAAACTTGCAGTCAGTTCTTAGAAGTTTGCTGCACTGAGTTCTGTACCACTTATGTTAATGGAATTTAGTTGCTTTTCACAAAGCTAATTACTACAGTGCTTATATTAAGGGGCAAGAAATATGGCCATATATCCTATTAGAATGAACGAAAATAGAAACGTGTCTTGTTTCCTATGGGCTTATGAATTATACTGTAAGCTTTTACTACATTTTCCTGTGTTCTTCCATAGCTTCACAAAATGTATGTTTATCTGGTCTTATTTGTGTCTGCTCTTTAAATCTTAAACTAGCCACATGTAAATCTGAATATCTGTGAAATATATAAATAAAATAGAAGTAATTATCAAATTCATATGTATGTTGAATTGCCTTTCATATTTAAGCTGTTAATACTTCTGTAATTTTGGTTTTAAAAAAATAATTGCCTTTACAGATGTCTATAGTAGATATATTTTGGTCATCTGAAGCTTTGTTTAAAAGAGTAAGAATCTGGCTTTGTTTAAATTTCATCTGAAGTACAAAACACAATGTGACTAGTGAGAACGAGAAAACTGGATTCCAAGCTAGGTGCAAATGTGTTTATGTTTTGTTCAGGTCTGTAATGACAGAAGAATATAAAGTTCCTGACGGCATGGTTGGATTCAGTAAGTAGTTTCAATATATAACAACATAATAATACTGTAACAGAGATTATGAGTGTGATAACTCTGGTTTGTTTTCCTTTTCTCCAGTAATTGGCAGAGGAGGAGAACAGATCTCCCGTATACAACAAGAATCTGGATGCAAAATACAGATTGCACCTGGTAATAGTTTCACATGCTGTTAGAGATGAATATGGAATGCAGTCAATAAATGTTGTGGAAAAATCATAGCACTACAATAGTTACCAGTTAATAAGAAGTACTAATGAAAATTTAAAAGAGCATTTGGGGAAAACTTAAGTAATGAATTACAGATTTGACAGATTTTGGACAATCGCTATCTGTTTCAGAAATGTGATTAAATATGTAACCAGTAATTACTTATTTCTGGCTTCTGTGCTAATATTCTTTCTATACTGTTTCTGTTTTATAGATAGTGGTGGTCTTCCTGAAAGATCTTGCATGTTAACTGGGACTCCAGAATCAGTGCAGTAAGTGTGGTTGCTTACATTTTTAAAATAGGTTAACATGTTTTGCATATGATTCTCATCTCTTCATGATTTGTTTCAATGCTGTATCAGGCAGAGATTAACTTGTTTTGGCCTGAAATAGAGGGGTTTGTTGGAATTTCTTTCTTTAGAAACTAGGAATTTGTTTACATGCCAAGAGAGCTTTGCAGGTATATACATGGTCTGTGTTATCTGATCTCCATAGTTTTGCAGGACTGCTCACTGTCAATTTCCATCCTAGGGGATGGCCTGTCATTTTAATATGTATTTTGTGTGCATGTGCACAGTGAAATATTTCTAGTTCATGATCTTGCTAAGTGAGAGTAATGGGCAGTATGCGCAACTGCTGCTATAGCTAGTTGTTGGAGGTCAGGCGTACTTGTTCAGGATAGTATGTAGGCAGAGAACTAATCCTGCTTCACCACAGCAATAGAAAACAAATGCATATATCAGTTTAAAATGATGGGTCAGCCTACCATTCAGAAACTACTCATCTCCACAAATATGCAGGGCTTGGATGAAAGGCTTGGCTGTATCTCCCAGAACTTGCCCTATTCTTTGAGCTGTGGAAGAAGTCCATCAGACTAAAGCTGGCTTCCTCTGGCCCTCCTTGCACCCACATTTTGTTTTCCAGATAACTGAACAAAACTTCTCATGGGTCTTTAAAGGGAAAAAAAACAAAAGCCTGTCTTTGAAAAGTATTATATGAGGGACACCTTATTTTTCCTTGGTTTTGTATAACCGTGGTTCCCTACCTTTTCTGCAGCTAGCAACAATGGGCTAACTTTATTAAAATTATTATTAGCCTATACTGCAGGGCAGAAAAGGGTGCATCTTCCTGGCCTACTTGTACAGAATGACCTACCCTTTTCTTTGACTTGCTATGAAGTCTAAAAGAGAAGGAAAGGGACTGGTGTGAGGGTGATGAATATGAACTGCTGCCTTGAAGCTGCCTGGCATATCTGGTCCTTGCTGCATGCAGACTATAAAACATCAGTCTCCTTCTCCTAAGTAGGTTGACTCATACTTCCTTAGAGGGAAAGAGTGAGAAAGGGGAGGATAATGATGATGCAAGTCTTGTAGAGGAGGGGAAGAGCTGAAGGGGGGCAGACTGACCAGCTGAAGTGCTGGGCTATCCCTTTGCAGCACGTACTTCCATTGTGCCCTCCAGCAGTAGTCCAATCAGTCTTTTCCCATAACCACTAATCATTCATGTCTCATGCCCGAGGTGATGACTGTCCCCCCAGCTCCTCCATTGAACACTGGGGCAATGAATGAGCTTGCAGGAGCAACCTGAGCTCTGCTGCTCCTTCCCTGCCCCCAGTCCAGCTGATCTTGCTCTGCTGGCTGCATTAACACAAGGAAGCAGAAGCTCCCCCCCACACACACACTCCATCCTGGTGCAAACTTGCAATTGTGACCTGGGACTTGTCAAGGGCTACATTAAAATATGAAACCCCAAAGGCTGAAAAATGAGTCAGGCTCCTAAATATTTGGTCTGGCAACTAGAAAAGTCAATTTGGTGCCTATACTTCATATTTACATCTTATAGACTTAAACTCTGCTCTTCTCAACAATGTCGTTTAAGTTTTGTATAACTTTAACACTTTGCAGTGTTTGTGTTTTTAATTGAATTTTATAATTTAAATTGTATTTTTAATTGTTTAAATGGTTTGGGGGTTTTGTGTTCGTTGACTTGTGGACTTCGATTGGATGGATAAGCAACATAAAATGTTATAAATAAATATATAATATTTTACAGATTTAATTTTTAACACTTCTCTCTGTTATTTGGTTGTTGATGCTTCTGTAATTGTCATGAATGGAATTCCCATATGTTACTCCAAACAGTTTGAGAAATGTGTTTGTAATGCCTAAGAACACAGCAAACTGTACATTCTGGTTTGCTGGCTGATCGACCATGGTTAAGTTTCATAAGCCATAGTGTCATACAGTCATTAAGAGTGAAGAGGCTTCCTTCAAAACTGTACAGTAGGCATTGTTTGAGAAATACAAGAAAATAGATTTAATGTTCTGTTCTGTGTAAATTTATGGAATATTCAACATGCATGGATATGGGTTAGTCTTGCAGATCTTGCATTTTGTTCTCAGGTAAGCAGGCAGTTGAACCTGGTTACCAATATTTTAACAATTTATCATATACTGGGCAAGAACAAAATTATCTTGTTCTCATACTCAAAAGGCTGTATGATAGTACGTTACTTAAAATGGCAGCTGGCATGTGAACAAGTCAATGTGTTCTCTTTACTAATTTCCTCTCCACTCCCCCTTGCTACAAACAATAAAATACCAGGTTCTAGTTACTCTAAATAATGCAAACAGATCTACAAGTTTACACAGTACAAAGCAGCTTATGCATTCAAGGAAAAAGCCCACACTTAAAGTACCATTTTAAAATATTTTTCCTAGTTATAGAAATTCTTGAACTTTTATCTGGTTCCATTGTTTTGTGTTCAGATTCTGTTACAATGCATACAGTAATATTTTTTATATTTTTTAAGGTCTGCAAAGCGGTTACTTGATCAGATAGTTGAAAAAGGAAGACCCACACCAGGATTCCATCATGGTGATGGTCCAGGAAATGCTGTCCAGGAAATTATGATTCCAGCTAGTAAAGCAGGATTAGTTATTGGGAAAGGTGGAGAGACAATAAAACAGCTTCAGGTAAGTTGTATAGTTTTGGGGGTGTGGAGAGTAAAAGCATGAAAATTTAAAGTTTGCATGAACTGCATAGATTCATTTTGTTTAATAGGAACGAGCAGGAGTTAAGATGGTTATGATTCAGGATGGTCCACAGAACACTGGAGCAGACAAACCTCTTAGGATCACAGGAGATCCTTACAAAGTTCAAGTAAGAGAGCATTTATACATGTGTAAAACTGTATATATACTAACTTCAGGATTAGTGCATCTGAATTGTATTTTCTTTTTTTAGCAAGCGAAGGAAATGGTTTTAGACCTAATTCGTGATCAAGGTGGTTTTAGAGAAGTACGCAATGAATACGGATCAAGAATAGGAGGAAATGAAGGATTAGATGTGAGTATGATAAGAATGCTTTCAGATTCAATACATATCTCCATACAAAGTAAAGGACAATAACCAACCTAAATGTCTTGAGGAGTGTCGTAATTTTACCAAGATGTGAATCTTTTGAGGAAGCAATTTTAATGTCTTGCTGTTAGGTAAAATTTCTTATAGTAAAAATTGTATTAGCAAATGACATTGTGTCTCTGGAAGAACTATTACGTGCCTTGCGATTCTCTTTGACCTTCCATGCTTAAAGCTTTCCATCCTCTTGCAAGTGTGGGTCAAATAAGTTTTAAAAGTATCTAGATAATGCCCTGAGATTTATAAAATTGCATGTTGAATTTGTAGATTAGCATTATAGTAGCTTAAATTTGTTAATGCACTTTGTTTCTCAAGGTCCCAATACCACGATTTGCTGTTGGCATTGTAATTGGAAGAAATGGAGAAATGATTAAAAAGATACAGAATGATGCTGGTGTGCGAATTCAGTTTAAACCAGGTACGTTGCTTATATGTACCAGAATAAAAATGTCAGCGTTCTCAATAATTTTAGAGCAGAACCTTTAAATATCTTGTCCTTCTTTCAGACGATGGAACAACTCCAGACAGAATAGCACAAATCACTGGACCTCCAGACAGATGTCAACATGCAGCAGAAATTATTACAGATCTTCTTCGAAGTGTTCAGGTAGGTTGTTAGTTGTACTGCTTAGTGTTTTTGGTGTACCAGTATAATTTTATGTTAAAACTTGTTTGCTTGGCCTTTTCCAACAGTAATGCTGGCATGATACGTCTCCCAGTTTTTAAAATAAAATAGGCAACTTTGAGAGTATTTTCAGTTTTGGCATTTTCTATAGTTATGTGGATAAATAATAAATAACCATAAATAATATTGGCATTAAAGTCAGATTTTAGAATCTAAAGGACATTAAATATTCTTTCATTTTGGGAGTGTTCTTTGTTTTGTTTTGCCGCAGTGGCATAATGTAGCTGAACCATCCTCTATATCATTCCAAGCACATTCTTCTGAATCTAGCTTATTTCTGGTATCTGAGGCAGACCTCGGGAACAAATATTTCAGGGCAACACACCACAACAAAGTAAGGTGGTAGAGAGTTTAGGTCTCCTCCCATCCATAGCTGCTGGTCAAAAAATTAGAACTTGGTCTAATAAAGAACACAGCTATAAATTGATATGACCAATAATTTTTCATTAGTGCCTTTTTTCCTCAATCTAGGCTGGCAATCCTGGTGGTCCAGGGCCTGGTGGTCGTGGAAGAGGTAGAGGACAAGGAAACTGGAATATGGGGCCTCCTGGTGGACTTCAAGAATTTAATTTTATTGTACCCACTGGAAAAACTGGATTAATCATTGGGAAAGGTGATACACTTAGTTTGTTTGATCCTTGTATGATCTTATTACTGTGTGTTGCATAGAAATACTTTTTTGTATGCCAAGTAGTAACAAAACAGATTTTCTAAATAGGACAACTGTCCATGATACTAAGTGCTGAGTGGAAATACCTGATGATAACAGTTTCAGGCCATTTCAAGCTATGACAACTCATAGGATTATGGATTATGAACTTCCTTAAATGTTTTAAACTTACCATTTCTTTGGGCAGTTTTATAGAAGCCAGTGTTCAAATGGTGTGTTTTTTTCCCTTCCATGAGCTTTTTTTGTAATCAGATTTTTTAAACAATTACAATTATTTCAGGTGGTGAAACTATCAAGAGTATCAGCCAACAATCTGGTGCTAGAATAGAACTTCAGAGAAACCCTCCACCAAATGCAGATCCCAACATGAAATTGTTCACTATCCGAGGGACACCACAGCAGATTGATTATGCTCGGCAGCTTATAGAAGAAAAGATTGGCGTGAGTATTCTTGAACATAATCTTTTAAAAATATTTAATCTTTATGGTAGGGCCAAAGTATCTATGGTGAGTAAAGATGGAGCTGGATTTTGTGATGCCATTGGTGCAGAATACTTGGCTTGTTAATATTACTTACTGCGAAGTAGACACGGATTCTTTGAAAGAAAAAGATTTAACCCATCTTTCATTCATGCCTTTTGGCAATTTGACTAGCAAGTGTGACTGTTTTCCTGAACGATTCACTGCATAACCTGGGCAAACAAGCAAACTGTTGATTTATAAGAGTAGTCTTGACTGTTAGCAGTGACTCTATTGAAGGCTTGTCAAGAGGCTACCTTACACAGAACAATGACTGCAGTGTGAAAAAATCAGGGTGGATTTGATTTACATCACATTTTTAAATCATGATTTAAATCATAATTTAAATCCCTAAGTAAGACTCAATTTAAATCATGGTTTTCTACATAACGGATCATTCTTTTTTTAAAAAAAAAATTATTTATATTTTACCAAGTTTTTACATTGATAATTCTATACACACAATTCTGTACACATAATCTGGTAGAGTCTAGTACAACTTTTTATCCTTTATCCATTTATATACCCCTGCCCATCTTTCTTGAAACACCTTATCATCTTTCCCTTGTAGAATTATTGTTAGTTTGTCCATTTCTGCAACTTCCATAAGTTTCATAGCTAATTCCTTTCTCTCAGGAATCTTTTCTTGTTTCCAGTATTTAGCTATTAAAATTCTAGCCGCTGTGAGCATATATGTTAATATATATATAATTCCTTCCCTTTGTATTCATTGGGAATCATATTTAACAAGTATATCTCCAGACACAGTTTTAAGTTGATATGTAACACTTCAGTTATTATATTCCTTACATTTTTCCAAAATCTAAAAATTTTCTCGCAATTCCACCACATGTGGAAGAAAGAACCTACGTTTCCTTTACACCTCCAACAGTTTTTATTCATGTTTTTATACGCTTTTGCTATCTTATCGGGGGTCCAATACCATCTATGGAACATCTTGAATATATTTTCTTTGAATGATACTGCTCTCATTAATTTCATTGATTTCCATACTTTTTGCCAATCCTCCGCTTGTGCTAAAATGAAATCTTCATATGGGTTGTAAATATAAAGGCCCACAAGAATGATCCTTTATGAAAAATTATACATAAAGGATCATTCTTGTGGGCCTTTATATTTACAACCCATATGAAGATTTCATTTTAGTATAATAACTTTTCAGATTAGTTTTAGTTGTATCAGAAAATTAATTATTGGTTATTTACCACTTGAAATAGATAGTTCACCTTGCAATTATTTCATATTTATCTCTGGATTAACAGGTTAATCATTCATATTTTGACTTTTCTGCTGTACTTTATTAGAAGGAGAAAATAATAATTAACAATGACCATTTAAATTATTTAACTAAAACAATAACATTATATAACATATGTATTCTTGTATTTGCTTAAACATTCACGAGGATACTCTCACAAAGATCTCAAGATTTCTGGAGTATTCTGCTCAAAAAGTTTCATTTTAATTTGTACTGCTTGCCCCTCCCTCCTCACACTTAGCTCTTAACATCTCCTCCTTATCCAGACCTATTCCACCCCAAACAATCTTACATTTATTGAACTTCTTGAACTTAGCACTTAAAAGATAAGGGGCTGATTCTGTGTGCATAGATTTGCAAAGGACCAGTAGGACTGAGGTCTCTGAACTCTGTATGTTTATTTTATTACATTTTTGCTGAGAAAAAGAATCATGTTGTCTCTGCAGGCACAAATTTACAATTCTGAGAACTGCAAAAACAAGCATCTGTGATAATACCATCTAGATAGAAAAAATGCCCATAATAATCCTACAGAAACCTCTGGGAGAGCATGACATTGTGAATGGATTAATAGAATTCATTTACCCAAAAAATTAAATGTTTTTGCTACATAATTAAAAACTAATCCATATTTCATAATGAATAACCTTTGGATTATAATGTATCTTAAATAGAAAACTATCTTTTGGCTGCGGTCACATGTAACAGAAGCCACACAAGTGAGACGGAAAACAGCCGGAGTTTCCGGGCGCGATCTCACCAGCACATCTGGGAAGCGTAGCGCTCCCGTGGCTCAACCGAGGCTTCCAGCCGAAACTGCGTGGCAAAAAACTAGTACCTTGGAGGTACTAGTTTCCGGAAGCAGCGGGGCAAGGGCGGGCGTCTGATCGCGTTTCCGGTGGCATCCGGCGCCCGCCCATGTCCCCTTGCAAATAAGGTGGTGTTTTTTTGTCCAAGTCTCTGTGGATGCACATGCGCACCCAACGGAGCATGCGCATTTGTCATGTACACAAAAATAAAAAACAGTTTGCCGCGGCGCGCGCTTCTTCGTTGTGCACCGGCTTGTCCTGTGATCGGCACCTCTCCCTTGCCATGGAACCTCCACGGTACCTCCACAGGACCTCTACAGGAGGTCTGATCACGTAACTGCGCAGTAGTTTGCCCCAGGGCAAACAGCCACGCTTCTCCTCTGCAGTTTCCTGCCCGTGTGACCTTTGATAGTTTTTTTCACCAAAAAGCATTCTTTTAAAAACAAAAAACACATGGAATTCTATCCAATGTGGAAAAAATATAAAAGGAAAAACTGACCAGAGAATTTTTTCTATTGAAATAGATCCCTGAAGGAATTGGTTATGCTTGAATTTTTTTCTATGAAGAAAAGATTTGGAGAATAGAACTTTTAGGATATTTGAGCAAGCTTGTTCTTCCACTCAGTTGAGAGAAACATTACTCTTACATTTTGTCTCTTCTCACAGGGTCCAGTGAATCCTTTGGGTCCTCCCGTGCCACATGGTCCTCATGGTGTTGTTCCTGGCCCACATGGGCCTCCTGGGCCTCCTCCTGGTGCCCCTATGGGACCTTACAATCCTGCTCCTTATACACCTGGTCCTCCTGGTCCAGCGCCTCAGTGAGTACTCTTGCAAAGGAGTCCATGAAGATTAGTTGGCTGTAATGATGAGTGGGGGAAAGTTTTAGTAGTCTGCCTTACCAATACATATGTGAAATTAAAAACTCCACATCCTTAGGTTAAAAAAAAGCCGGTTGTGGCTTACAAAACTGAGAGAATCAAAAAGAGAACTCGATTGAGGGTTTTCAAAGGCCATCCTTAATGTAATAAACATATGTAAATTGTGGCCATAGTTGCATAGTAGAAGTCTTTCATTGCTGATACCCTTGCACTGACTAAAGAAAGCAAAAAATTCATTTGCCCAAACTGTCACCTTTTTAACAATAGAACTGTGCAGTGGCTTCATGTGAATATTCCCATCTCCCCTGTTTTTTGTCTTTCAATTTTAGTGAAGGTGTGGTAGATCTCAGGCCAAAATTGGTTTTACTGCCAAAACTGGGTCAAAGAGCATAGGAAAAGTAATGATCTTTGTGCAGTAATGGGGAGCTTTTTTATTCATGGGGTCACTATAAACAGTCTTCAGGTGGGTTAGCCATTTGGTCTGAAGCAGTAGAACAAAGTTTGAGTCCAGTGGCACCTTTAACAGGTGTGAGCTTTTGTGTGCACACACACTTCCTCAGGCATATTGAAATGGAAGTTATCAGTCCATACATATGGGTAGAGGATGAACAGCAAATTAGGATGCAACATAATGAAGATGTTTTAACAGATGTGGGAACCAAACAGGAATAACAAGCTAAGTTTACATGGTCACCATTTTTTTGGATTCAATTGGGGGGGGGGACACTCTGAGGCAAATGTCAGAATTGGAGACTGATGTGTGATTGTATCCTTTTTAATTGTGGGGTGTTAAGAGTAATTAAGTGCAACCCTGTTGTTAACACAGTCTTGTGTAGGATGTTATGGATTTCTCAGCGAACCTGTTTATCTTGTTCAACACTCACAATCAGACTGCGATCTGATCAGGGATATATTCAAAATCCAGCAACATCAACAGCTGCCAAGCAAGTTTGAAGCTGCCTTACAGCTGATTGGGGAACCAGTTAGGATTCAGCTTTTGAACTACCCTCTCAGCAAAACTGTGCCGTTGCAAAAGAGAAAGTTCTGCTCCATGAAGTCTCTTACCTCTCCTCCAAGGTGGACAGGGACAGAAGCAATGCTTTTGATCTCTGTATTGCAAAAAGGAAGGGAGAAGGTGCTCATTTTTCTCCTGCAGACCAAACCAACAGCTTTTTTTGGGGGGGGGAATCAGCTGGGCCTCTGTCCAGTGCCATGTCCCCTGGTAATTTTCTGTATCTCTGCAATTCAGAGAGGCTGCAAAGTTTCTGGGATGGGAAATCAGAAGAACACAACTTCCAGCTAATCTGGCAGGGGATGGGGGTGGGGTAGATTACCTGATCCAGGTTGGGAAACTCCTGAAGATTTGGAGATGGAGCCTGGGGAGGGCATGGACCTCAGTGCAGTATAATGCCACAGAGTCCACACTCTAAAGCATCCATTTTCTCCAGGGGAACTGATCTCTATAGTCTAGAGATGAGCTGTGATTCTAGGGGGTCCCCAGGTCCCAATTGGAGGCTGGCATCCTTAACTCCTGACCCACCCTATTTTTGCTGGATACAAACCAAAAATTCCCCCAATAGCAAATCATAAGCTGATTCCCAGCTTGATCCCTCATCAGCTGGGAATCAGCTTCTGGTGTCTGCAAGTAGCTTGTTCATGTGAACACAGGGCCAGTGTGTGAACAGCCCACTGACTCATTGGCTACCTGATCACTATTGCAGAACAGGAAATGAGCAGAACATCTTCCAAAAACTCCAATAGCTAACAACTGATTATTCATACCTTGTTGCTTTAGCCTGAGATTGAGGAAGAGGTAAATGGAAGGAAATAAGACCTATTTCCAAAGACTATGCTGGCTCCAAGTTAACTTAGTAGGTCTTGACTGCAGCAGTAAGGATTCATAGTAGAGCACTTTGTATAACAGCAGGTGCCTTCTGGTGTTGGTAGTTGGTTCAATGCTGAATTGGCTGGGTAATTTAGTCCATTTAACACTGAATTAGCATATTCAGTAGATTTGCTTTGCTTTAAATAATCAGATGTGCTGGGGTGTTACTGGACACTGCAGTGGTAAACAGGTGACATGTTAAGCCTGATGTACTCACGGTTGATTTTTGTACCCCTTTTGCTACTAATTGCATGCAATATATTCTTTTGTAGTGGACCTCCAGCACCATATGCTCCACAAGGCTGGGGTAATGCTTATCCACACTGGCAGCCACCAAATCCTCCAGATCCAGGTGAGAACAAACAACAAATTATTAACACATGTGTCATGTACACTAGGAGCTGCGATGGCTCAAGTGGTTAAGACGCTGAACTGCAGGCTGTGGAAGGTCAGTAGTTCAGCAGTTCAAGACCCGGGTGCCACATGATGGAGTGAGCTCCTGTCTCTAGTTCCAGCTCCTGCCAACCTAGCAGTTTGAAAGCAAGAAATTGCAAATAGGTACCACTTCGGTGGGAAGGTAACAGCGTTCCGTGCACCTTGGTGTTTAGTCATGCCGGCCACATGACCACGGAAACGTCTTCGGACAGCGATGGCTCTTTGGCTTTGAAACGGAGATGAGCGCCGCAACCCTAGAGTCGGATTCAACTGGCTTTTGAGCAAGGGAACCGTTACCTTTACATGTACACTAGTTCAAAACTGCCATGAAATTTGAAGAACTGCACAGTGGGTTGGAACCTGGTAATCATTTCTACACAGAAGGGGGAGGGTCTTTTGCCAATTCCACCTCACACTGTTGATCAATGATGTGCCTCCCATGTTGATATTAAGGGTTTCCTATCCCCTAGGAGCTCTCAGCTTTTTTGGAGATCAGTAAGCTACAGTGAAAGGGTTGAGGCCAATATATTTATTCCACTAACAGAAATGGAAGCCACACAATAATTGTGTTAAGAGTGTGTGTGTCTCTTTAAAGGTTTGGTTGCAGTGCAAAATGCAGTGTAGAATGATGGAAAGGGACATGTGGAGTATGATTGGTGGATGGCAGTGTGTGGGAGGAGTTATTCTGTGTGGATCTGTGTGGGTGTGTCAGAGATTGGAGAACGACAGTTGGAATAATGACAGTTGGTGAAAAAGCAGTTGATGTTGTGCAGTTGAATTTCAGTCAGTCAGACCTCTGACAATGCTGTGTGGAGTCAGAGAGTGAGAGAGACTAAAGAATCTGTGTGGGATCCGAGAAGGATCGGTATATGAGTGTTAAAGTGATACAGTTGACAAGTTCATTTACAGAAACCTTATTCCCAACCAGTTAAATAATTACCAACTTCTTATTTTGTTCCCCTTTCAATAAATCCTATTTTATTTAAAAGTATCCCAGAATTCATATCAATTCTTCCTCTGGACCACAATAGATCCCTGAAAAACCTTGATCCTGTGTTACCCTACCAATAAGAGAAACAGAAGGTTTGGAAATCCTTTAATTCCTGGTGGCAGCCAAATATACCCAGTTTTACAGAAATAAAGAACACTTTTAAAGAGAAACCTAGACCTCCCCAATAGGAGGTCGTCACAGTACCATAGTGATCCTTTGACTTGGCTCCAAAGATCTGCTCTGTATCTTTAATATGGGGCTCTGTTAGGTATTTCATATGTTTATTATTTACTTCAAATATTGGTGTTTTCAGAATAGAGCAATTCAGATAACTTGATCGTTAGGCCTATTGTGGTGTGGGAGGGTTTGCTAATGTTAGGCTATCTGGCCAGCACACTAAGAACCTATTACTATCATGTGACAGCTCCAGATTTTTTGTAAATGTACTTCATCTGATCAGATATGGAGGGAAACTGGGTAATAGGGACCAATGGATATGTTCGTTCAGGAGTGTTTTCAGCTACACAAAAGCAGCCCAAATACCATTTATGCATGAAAAGTGTGTGGAGATAATTTAAATGAAAAATTACTTTTGCTCAGAATATTTTAAATGGGTTAGAAGGAAAGGCAGTTGGCTGGAAATGTAATGCTTCAACTGGTAATATAACTAGCTGAATTGCTGGTGTCAAATAGTTGTACATGTCTAGGAATCCAGTACAGTCAAAACCCTTTTAAAAATTCATCTGGGTTAACTGTGTAAGATAATTACCTCAGTAAGAGTGTTCCAGTGCACAGTTCTGTGGAGCTGCAATGTATTTTTCTTGTACTATAAGAGTAGAAGTTTCTGCTTTGATTATAGTGTCATGAGAATATTAACCTGAGTATCTTCTAATGTTGGCAACAAAATTCCCTGATATTGGAATGAATTGGACACTGTATGTCTGTACTACTGTTTAGGCCAGGAATCCCCATTGTCATGCTCATGGGCACCATAGCGCTTGCCAACACCTTTCCTGGTGTTCTCTAAGGGTTTTTTGAAAGTGGGAGGGGCCTGGTGGGGCTTTTGCCTAGCAAGACTTCTGATTAGCCATTGGAGATGTGATTGGCTATGCAGATTTTTAAAATGTGGCTTTGGCAGCAGTTGCAACCACAGCACAAGGATCGTTACTGTGCTGTAGCAGCCATTTTGTGGCTGGCTCTGCCTCTTGTAACAGCCATTTTGTGCTGCTCTCACCACACTGTCTCAGAATTCCAAATGCACCCACAACATCAAAAAAGTTGAAGACCCCTGGTTTTAGGAGGTGGCAATGTTGAACTGCAGGCCTTTATCCATCTACAATTCTTCCAACAGAACCACATTTCCATTTACTAAAAGAAGGGGTAATTTCTGCTGATTCTCCCTTACTGTTCCATATTCCCATTTTGCCCAATATACTGTTGCAGAAGGTATACTAATGCCCAGGAACAAAGGGGCAGTGTTAGGAGGGGGAAGCAGGAAAATTCTTCTTTGTCATGTCGGCAGATATGTGTATCCAACCTACAGTGGTGGTAACTAGGGTGTGTGGGGACACCCCCCCCCCCCAAGTATTTTTCAACTTTGGGTAAATCATACCCGAAAAATAACGGTAAATGCCGAATTTTCCAATTCAATACTGGTAAAGTATCAGGACTGGGGAAATATTATTGCCTGAATATATTCTGGTCTGATATACACCACCAGAGGGAAAGTACCCTAAAGGTTGGGCTACAAGTATCGTGGTACCAGTCTATAAGAAGGGAGATGGCAAGGACCCTCATAATTTTAGGCCAATTAGTCTGTTGTCCATCGCATCTAAACTATATAGTAAATATCTAAAAAATAAAGTGGAGGATTGTGTCATTGAGAATTACCTGATTCACCCCCTGCAGATAGGGTTCAAAAAACAGCACTCTACAATTGAACATTGTCAAACTTTATATTACTTGGCAACAGCTGCAGTCAGAGGTCCAACAAAAGTTTTATACGTGGCTGAAATTGACAAATCTTAACGTTGATCCCAGGTTGAATTTTTGATGAGACAACTGCGTTGCAACACTACTGTCAAAGTTAAAGTTGGAAAGGAAGGGGGCGTGGCGTCGGGGGGGTAGAGCGAAGACGCCTAACCCAATGGCTCCTGGCCTGACCCTCCTTTCCCTCGCTCAAAACAAGAATTAAATATTGTAATATTGCCACGGAGTATGAAAAAACCGGGGGAAGAAAAAACGCTTCCAAAGGATCTAAAATCACCATAGCAGAGAAGGTTTCTTCCCCAGAAATAGCTGGTGAGTTGGGGCGAACGGCGGAACAGCAGCAACACAAGATGGCATCGGAGAGCGCATTTAAGAAAATGATGATCCGGTCACAGTCAAAACTCTTCAAAATGCCTTAATATGCGCATTGCAAAAGACTGAACAGTCTATTTCGGTGAACATCACCCAGAAAATTAACGAGTTACTACAACCAATGACGGGACAATTAAATGAGTTATCAACAGCTTTAGAAACTACTACAAAGACAGCAGAAATGGCATACAGATTGGGACAAACTGTAGGCTGGGAACCAAAAAAATCAAATGGAAAATTATGATTTGAAAGAGAGGATTTTAATCTTAGAAGCTATGGCTAAAAAACAAAACCTCAAATTTCGAGGCTTTCAGGAATATCCTGAAGAAACCTCAGAACTATCACAATCTATGACTATGTGGCTGACAACTATACTAAAGTTGGAAGAAGGAGTATTTCCAACATTGATTAAAGTGCATAGAATAGGCTCTCAGAACAATGCAAATAGAAAATTCCCAAGAGACATTTTAGTGACATTTGCATATCTATGAATAAAATTAGAAATAATAAAAATAGCAAGAGAACAAGGCTATTCACTACATCAAGAGCAGAAGATATTTGTATTTCCAGATCTGCATATGGAGGCTTTACAAATACGACAAAAATTAAAGGCAATCACCCAGAAACTGGATTAAAAAATCAAATATCAATGGAGTACTCCAGGGAAGCTGACTGTGAGACACCAAGGAAAAATATATCAGACAATAGATGAAAACAGTGGCCTACATCTTCTTCAGGAGTTAAATTTAGTATCTTCAATGGAAACCGTAAAGAAATCCTTCAAAAGACAGCTCCCAATGAACCTGTCTCCTCAGAAAGCAAGCAAACTTCCTATCAGAGACCTCTCAAGATTAGACTGTGAACTGCGATTAGACTGTGAAATGTAACTCTATGAAGGCGCAGAAACAGACTCCTACTCATTGTATAACCTTTTTGGGGGGGTTCAGGAAAGCCGAATGCCCATCCCTAGTGGTAACTTGTTAAAGAAGTAATAAGAAGTTAAGCATCATGGCTGAGCCGTTAGATGAGCTTGTGGCAACAGCATGTACAACAAATCCATTGCTTACACAGTTGTTACAAATGCATATTATTAGCGTAGTTTTCTTTATTTTGCATTTTGTAGCACATTGATGATGCTTGAAACAGCTCTCAGTGGTGGAGTGTTGAGAGATTTCAATTCAATTCCATCCTTTAATGGCATAACACACATGACCAGTGAATACAGAATGGAAAAGAGATTTAACATATTTGAATAGTTACACCTACAGTCATACTTGATCAGGTCTAGATTTAAGAATATCCTCCAGAAAACTGGCTACAGCCTCAGTAGTCTGCCACTTAGTGTCAGTCAGTAAATGCTGACAAAAAGAAAAATTAGTCAAATAGTCAGGAGGTAAGGAGAACTTTCAAAATAGTTCCTTACGGGGATTGTCATACCAAGAACTGTGGAGCAATATATGCTGAATTGAGTCGGGGGTATTCACTCCTCAGGAGCAGATATGACTCATTAGATGTAGAAAAGTTATCAACTGCTATCCCCAATTCATTGAGTTTGGAAATAAGAGCCACTGACCAACTTGAGGTATAGAGATCATGTTGAGAAAAGAATTAAATCTTACCAAACATGTTGAACTGAACCAGTGTTTGAGAGCCAGTCTGGTGTACTGGTTAGGACCGCAGACTCTATGGTGGGAGAACCCAGTTTGAGTTCCCACTTCTCCACATGCAGCTGCTGGTGTGACCTTGGGTCAGTTACAAGTTTTTTCGGAGCTGTTCTCTCATGAGTAGTTCTCTCAGAGCTCTCTCAGACCCACCTACTTCAAAGGGTGTCTGTTATGGGGAGGGGAAGGGAAAGGCGATTGTAGCCACTCTTGAGACTCTTTCGGGTAGTGAAGGGCAGGGTATAAATCCAATCTCTTCTTCTTGTTCCTAGGTAAGCCAGCAGATCCTAATTCAGCTGCATGGGCAGCCTATTATGCTCACTACTATCAGCAGCAAGCGCAGCCACCACCTGCAGCTCCACCTAGTGCACCACCAGCCACCCAGACCAATGGACAAGGTATCAAACTGATTTTTGTGATGAAAAATAATTTCTTATGATGTGATAGACTTCCTAGAATATCATTTATTAAAAAATGATTATACTGTAGTATATTTACAGTGGAAAATAGCAATTCAGGAAAAGATACATAGTGAAGTATGTTTTAATTCCAAGGACAAAATGTGACTGTTGATTAAATAACAAATCTCCGGTATTGTGCATTGCTCTCAAGTCACATATAACCTAAGGCATGTTCCTGACCTGAGCTGCAAATATTAGAGTACAGTTTTTTCTCTTTCAGCCCTTTTCACCACTCATGAGCAGCACCTGACACTGGCTTCTAGACAGGCCTAAGTGTCTCACAATTCCAATTTTAAGAATTAATAACCATTTTAAGTCTTACTGCAAGTCTGTTTTGTCTTACTTTCCTTTACCTTCCTATCTATGCATCTTTACACTTTTTCTCTGCCCCACACCCTCTGTTTCACCAGGGCTTCTCCACTGTGTCCAGGAAGTTCACAGGGTGTTTGTTGATGTTTTCTCTGCCTTCCCCTTAAGCACCTTGTCTCATCCACTGTCATTACCAGTTTGCTTCTATCCCTAGCCTTTTTTTCTGGCCTTCTCCATGCAGTTTCTTTTGTGCTTGGCTTGATATGCTGTCTCTCTGATTGCTCTGATTGGAAAGCCAGTTTTGTGTAGTGGTTAAGAGCGCAGACTCTAATCTGGGAAAACCGGGTTTGATTACCCACTTTCCCACATGCAGGAATATCCATTTACACAGCACTGAAGTAGACTAAAAGCTTTCCTCAGAAGGGTTTCCAGATAAGCAGTTCAAACTTATTTATTCTGTTTCTCTGTTTTCATTCTCCTATGAAATATTTTGTAGTTTGCTATATAAATTTTTGGTCTGCTTCAGCTATCTCTTGGTTTTCTATTCAATTAGGAGATCAACCAAATCCAGCACCAGCAGGGCAAGTAGATTACACCAAGGCATGGGAAGAGTACTATAAAAAAATGGGTACGTTTTGCATTTTCTCTTGAATAAAAAAATGTGACTTCTGTGATTTATTTCTGAGTTTTGTTTCGTATGACTTATATTTCATTAGTAGTAGTAAAGCATTGCTTTACCTTTATATAGAATGTTGCTTCTTCTTTTTTTACTTTGTTGTCCCTGGGAATTAAAAAGACTGTCATTTTGCCACCTTATGCTTGTACCCAGCATCTTGTGGGAAGCTATTTTACATGAAGAGTATTTATTTGATTTAAAATAAATTTGTATGTCCACCATTGTAAATTTGTTATAAATGAATGTCTGCCACTATTCTCCTGAGATCCAAGGTCGGAGTATTTTCTCCTGAAACTGGATCCTATGCAACAGTAAGCAGAAGTGGATATTTTTACCTCCGAGTAGCTATCTGTGAGCGCTGAAGAGGTGTGGGCAGGGCATTTGTAAAAGATAACTGTACTAAGGAGAAGTGGTTGAAATTGTCCCCCTTTCCTCTTGTATCAGCCTTTTTTGTTGGTGGAAGTCTTCTTAGTCTAGCAGAAAGGAGGCAACCCACTGATCTTAATTCTTTGAAGCAGATCAGCACTGTTATTTCTGGAAACAAATGTTCTGTATTTTGAGAGGAAAATTGGGATAGAATTCACAGATTACCTCTTTTGATAGAATGGCTTTCATGAAATGATAGGATCAAGTCTTTGGCAGTGAAGAAGAAGAGGAGGAGATTGGATTTATACCCCGCCCTTCACTTGGAGTCTCAGAGCGGCTTACAAACTCCTTTCCCTTCCCCTCCCCACAACAGACACCCTGTGGGGTGGGTGGGGCTGAGAGAGCTCTGGCACAAACTGCTCTTTTTCAAGGACAGCTGTGCCAGAGCTTGTGACTGACCCAAGGTCACATCAGCAGGTGCAAGTGGAGGAGTGGGGAATCAAACCCGGTTCTCCCAGATTAGAGTCCGCTGAAGTAAACATTTTAAAATTGATTGCACTGCTCAGCCTTCTCAAAAGGATTTAAAATGAGTGCTGAACTGAACTTTTGTGGAAATAATATGCTTATAGATGAAGACAGACCCATCTTTTAAATTTCCTCTTGTTCTTATTGATATATATCACTTATATGAACAACACACTTACTCAGTCAGAAGTTCCATTTTTTATAAAAATAGGAAACATAAAAATGCATTTGGGGTTAGTAAAAATCCAAATATGATAAAAACAAAGTTTGCTTCAAGATATGTAGGCCACTGAGCTCTTGCAAGACTGCACTGTGAGGTTTTTGGTGGCTATTGTGGGGATTGCTAGGGAACCCACAGCTAACATTTCTGAGGCTTCCAATCCTCAGTTATCACTAAGGAGAGGAGGGGGAAGAGAGACCAAAAGGTAGACAATAGAAAGAAGGAGAGGTGTTGATGGCAGGGAGGTACAAAAAAGGTTAAAGTGGAATGCTGAAGATGGGTAAAGGGAACAGAAAAATGGGGAGGGATGGGGCAGAGGCTGCCAGGGGAGAGACAGAAAAGGATTGGTAGGTGGGTGGGAGAGGAGGAAAGGGGAGAAGCTGCAGATGCTGCTGGGTGGGGAAGCAAAAAGGAAAAGCCAGAGAGGGTGTGCGAAAATAAGATCCCCCCCCGACATAAGTCTTTGTGGGTCCCTCACTGCACACTCCAGAATTTGCAGGGAATAGTATATTTATATGTTGGTTTCTTGTGCTGCTCTTAAAACTTGTTAAGGGGACCTACTATATGGATTTATATTCTAAAATCCCACTGGCATAAAACTGACTCTAGAGCAGGGGTGGCCAAACTGTGGACCGGGAGCCACATGCAGCTTTTTCACACCTATTGTGCGGCTCCCAGCAAGACAGCTGGGGAAGTGAAGGGGAGGCATGCCTCCCTGGGTAGGCTTGGGAGGGGGAGAGCAGAGAAAGAAAGCAACTTTAACTTTAAATGTGTTCTTAAAGCCCCACCTCTTCCCTCCCTCCCTCCCCATCTAAAGTTAAATGTGTTCTCCAAGCCCTGCCACACTGGCCAGCTGGCTTGGCTCGGAGAAGGCACTTCTGTCTTTAAATTAAAATTAAATTATTAATAATAATCCTTTATCCAAGCCAGTATGCCAGTGGGGGCAGGGGGCTTGGAGAACACATTCAAAAGTAAAGCCGTTCTCCAAGTCCCTGCCCCGTGACCCCGCTGGCCGGCTTGGAGAAGACATTTGTCTCTTTTAAATCACTTCTCCAAGATGGCTGGCATGGGGGGGGGGTGTTGGAGAACACATTTAGTCGCTTTCTTTCCACCTCTCCCTTCCTTCCTCCCTCCCCATTTATTTGCTTTTCTTCCCTCTCTCCCTCTCTTTCTTTCCACCTCGCTGTCTTTTTCTCTCTATCTTAGACAAATAAATATTAGCAAACAAATAAATCTCATCAGTATCTGTTTTTACCCCTTTTGTTTTTATTTTTGGCAGTCTCATTTAATGCTACTAAACCAAAGTTGCACATTTTCCAATAAAAACGTTTGTGTAAAATTTATTCATGTCTTGCGGCTTTCAAGCGTCTGACGTTTATTCTATGTGGTTCTTGTGTTGAGCAAGTTTGGCCACCCCTGCTCTGCTCTGGAGTGTTGGGGAAAACCTTCAAGGTCTTACAGATGTACAAGGGGATACAGATGGGGTGGCATGGAATCAGTGCACACCGTACATGAGCAGGCATGTCTTCCACTTGTGCAGGGGGATCTACAGTTTGATAACATAATTGGAGCACAATATGAAGATTCGAGATTACTTTCATTAATGCAGGATTTTATTTTTGTAAAATAGTAGTGTACAACCATTTCAGGATATCATGTATCTAGTATTCCTAATGTTTACAACTTACTCTAGGTTGTTAGATTTGTGCTTGACAGGCTCCACATTTTTAATCTTGCAGTGTGATCTTGAATGCTAAGCATATTGCCTGCCATCTCATTCTTCAGGGGGATCATATACCAATTGACCCATAGAACAGAGAGCCAGCAAAGCATAATTGTTTGTGTATTGGCTGTGGTCTATGAAAAACCTGGGGTCAGACTGGGATTAAAACATGAAATTTAATTGATCGGCCCCAAGCCTGTGTTGTATTTTACAGTGCTCCTCCCAGAGTTATTGTAAGACATTTATAAATAAAGTTGAATACAGTTCCATGAACCCCCAGGTTCTTTGGAGGAAGGGCAGGATCAGCTGTGATGTTTCTAAACGCCATGAATCTTCTTTAAGCACACATTACTTGCAATCCACTGGTGGTGAGCTTTAGTCATCTTCTCTCAATTGAATGGGTTGCAGAAAAATCAAAATACAACATTTCAAAACAAGATAGTTTTATTACTTTGTAATATGTGTGGGAAATTCTACTATGAATATTTTCTGGCTTGTTCAATTTATTAGACCTTTGGATTCTGTTGCACTAGAAATAAGGCCCGTTGTGGAAATAAATACAACGGGATCTAGAAAGAGGCTCTGGGAGAGTGCTCTGGCTTTGGGCAAACAGTGTCAGTCTGCTTTTAAAACATGAACCTGGGACCTGCACACCACCAGAATACAGCAAGTTCCATATGTAACTGACATTCCAACTGCCTTGCGGGGGGGGGGGGAGTTTGAGGTGTGGAATGGAGTGAAGTCCAATCAGCTTCCATATGCAAAAGACCAGGTTGTCACAGCAGTTGTGGTGTGGGCGGGACCCGGGCTTTGCCTTCTCATTGGTGGCGATATATGCTGAGGAGCAGTGCCATCAGCCATACACTAAGGGAGTGCATTTTAGAATTAGAACTTTGGCACCCACTATTCAATTATATATAAGGAGAGATTCTACAAGTATTACTCTGTGAGACCATAATGATACTGCTTCATTCAGTGTGTGTATGCACTTAGAAAACTAGTCTTAATTATTAAAAAATACACAAAATATGTGGTGTGTTGCTATAGAGGAATTCATGCATTGTGATCACTATAAATGTCCAGTACTTTATTCTCCCTTTCTAGTGTATACTGTATGTTTTTACTAATAGGCAGTCATAGAAATTCAGAGGGCAACTTTTAAAGGCACACTAAATATGATTTAACAGGAAATTCTAGTTTATTATAGTAGTATTGGAAAGTGTTCATACATACATTTCAAGGCTACAAGCTTTACAGCTGGTAAATGGAGACCTATCCCCAGATATATATTCTCTCTCATGGAGAATGCACACTCCATATTATGCGTGGAGTGTTATAAAAGTGAGAATACATCAGTACATACACCCACTAGAATTCTCAGGTGTTCTGCCTGTTGTGGAGAGAGGCATATGTAGGTTAGATATTTGTTCCTATATGCTGCCATATGCTGTCCCATACACCCATGTGTTAGTATGTGAACTATTGTAAAGCATATTTTGGTATGCTAAAATTTAAGCAGCTGATGCCAAGTAGGTAAAATCTTAGTTTTATTCTAAATTCTGATAGCGTATGCATCAAAAAATACTGTATAAACTTGAGGTTTAATACCATTTTTCTTACTTGCACTATACTTCAAATGAAACAGCAAAGAACTCGTCCTCTGTATTGTCTGTAATTTTGGTGTACCTGGGAGCTTTGCTTACATTAAAATGTGGGGGGTTTTTCAGGTCAACAAGGGCAGCCACAAGATTATTCAAAGGCTTGGGAGGAATATTACAAGAAGCAAGGTAATGTTTGTTAGAAATGAGATTATTTTGAGCTTCATTTGTTCCTGCTATGGTACCAGAGTTGTGTAATCTGTATTTATTCTAGGTCAGGCAGTTCCAGCTCCAGCAGGGGCACCACCAGCGGGTCAGCCTGATTATAGTGCAGCATGGGCTGAATACTATAGACAGCAGGCAGCCTATTCCTCCAGCACCACAGGTATAAACTTCTTGAATTATTTGGTTATATTAGTGACTTTTGGTGTTATTTCTTGGGGTTATTTTTATTCCTTCTGTTTTGTTTTTGCATGTCTCCCACTCTGATACTGTTTTGGAGTATGCATTCTTTTTCCTTGCAAAGGATAATTAGTAAATAAATTCATGCTCTCAGTTAACTGGAGTTCTGTCTCTCTCTTTCTTCGCATACATTCAGTGCTTTTTGATCAATAAAAATTTCTCCTCCCAGGGTTTTTGAAAGCCATGCAGGAAGCCACCACCATTACATTAACCAATTTTTCTTTCTTAAAGGCTTCACTCCTGAGTTAGCACAATTTTAAAAAGATTTTCTTTAACTTTTTGTGTATCTCTTATGTATTTCTTCGCACAGGGCCAATAATAAGAAGTGGACAATACAGTATTTGCTTCATTATGTGGGGGAAAAAACCTTTGTTAAATGTGTGGATGCAGACGCCTTGATGAAGATCATAATTTTGTTTGGTTTAAAAATAGTGTTTTGAAAATGTACAAAATATCTATCACTACTGATAGGAGGTAATATTTCTGTGTAGAAATGAACTTGGTTTGTTTTTAGTACATTAGTGTAGATGTACACATTCCAGCAAATGTATTTGCAATTATTATGTGGTCATTGCTTTGTGATATAAATGTACTTTTTCCAATGTATACTTGATCACTTTTAAATGCCTGTTTTGTGCTTTACAATAAATAATATGAAACCTCCTGTGTCGGTAAGTTGGATATGTGGGTCCCCAGAATTCAGCAATATGTTAGCAATGCTGTACATGTACACAAGTAAGATTTTTTTCCTTGAAAGTTTGAGTTTGACATTGGTATTCTCCATTTGCAGAATAGTTTAGAAGGATCTCTTTTGTTGCTGTATTTTGCTGCTTAGCATCTTGATATCCTCTTCTTTTTACTTGATTAAAATTTGCATGTATGTGAAGGTGTTTCTTGACATACTTCTATTGCATTAACAGTTGAAATTTCTTTTTATTCATGACCACTGTCTCAGACCCATATAGCTGCTATAGTTAACCTTTGTTTTTATACATGATTTGATTCTTCAGTATATTTTTTCAGGCACGTTATTAAAATCAATTGCTGTAGAAATCAGATGTGCAAAGCAGTCAGTTGACTGCATTTTGGTTGAGAATTTAGTGTAGTAAGGTTTATATGCTTTTAGTTACCAAAACTGCATTTGTTATAGAAACATTCTTTTTGGAGTCCTGGGAGTGCTTAACAGATAAGGTCTATTTTTAAATGCTGAAGACTAGTCATTCAATTATATTATGAAAAGTCTCCATAAAGCGTTCTATTCTTTATATTCATACTAAAAATTGGTGTTCTGTTAAAATCCACTGTTTACTTTTTTGCATCTATTAGATTACATGCAATACAGTCTGTCTTGCCATTGTCTGTTGAAGTGCAGGTTTGATCCAGCCAGTATAGAACTAGCTCTGTAGGGGTGAGGAGGACTGTGCTGTGTATCATCTTTGATTGTTCCTTCAAGGAGCATTGCACTGTAAGTACAACAGAATGACAAAATGATGAACTGCAACAGTATCTTTTTGTCAATGTTCCACATAATGCAAATGCCATACCTGTGTGAATATTATGTTGGAATAAAATACAGTGCTGATATCTTAGAAAATCATAACTGCTTCTTAATTCAGAAACGTAGGTGTGCATATATATCTATATGTGTATATGAGCTTTATGGGTAAGTATTGCTGAGACATTTAGTTTTAGCTAAATTGTCATGTACCTAAGTAACATTTTTTCATTAGGGGTTCAGAAACAAGATATATTCAGATATAAACTTGTGCATTGTTAACAAAGTTTAAATTGCTTGTAAGGAGGACGTTGTTTTGTCTTCAGTTTGTCTGCTTATATTTGGTGATATAGGTATTTGTTAATAACCTGTATTAGCCTTACCTCTGGAAAAGATTTTGTTGGGGTTCTTTTTGAGAATACACTTAGCGTGGTTGCTAGGGAAGAATAAAATGAAGCTCAGAAATGAAGTCGTTTACTGCACAGGTAGCTAGAAATGCATTTTGTTGTACTGTAGAATCAGGAGGGAATTTATTTTTAGCCCAATTTGCATTAGGATTTAAAGCAGACATTTTGAAAAGATTACTAGGAAATTATTAAATATATTTAGAGTAGGCTATAAAGGCTCTAGAGCAACTACTTTGCATGATTCTTCTGTAGCTTATTGGAGAATGGTGTAGCTACTAACTAAACAGAACAAAAAATTCACCAGATTCTTTATCATTCACCGAATGGAGGCTGTTGATTTGATTCATTTAAAGTATAAAATCTTTATTAATTGCAAACAGTGCAATTATTTATACTTCACAGTGCCTTCCCAGACCTTCCACCTTAGGTTCTGCTGCAAAAAGCACAGGTAAGCACAACCTAAGGAAGTGTATAAATACATATTTCAGTATATTAATGTTGTCCCTGTGAGATTTTTTTGTGGTTGTGTATTCAAAAGCAATCTGCCAATATCTTCCCCAAATGTATTCTGCTATTTATGGTTCAATTCCAGTGGAAAGTCTGAAACAATTATTTACATTTCTGGGTAAATGTGTATCTTTATTTTTAAAAGATAAGTGGATTGCTGCAATAATTTTTGAGTAAGTCACTTTTACTATTTTTCCCTCAGTAGCTAAGTTGTTACAAATGAATATAAATTATTTTTTCAAGATACAGGAAATACTTGGTCAGAACTTCAACAGCCTTCACAAATGCTTTTATAATGAAAAGGATGTTATACCCAGTACTATTTACTCAAGCATACTGTGTTTCTCTAATTCCCAAGACTGTCTGATTTTTTTTTACGTTATACACCATAATATCCGTAAAACAAATTAATCTAGCTTGCTTATTTGATACAGAAGGAAAATTTAGACTTGAATTTTGCAGAATAGCTTATTAGAAAGCATGTGTGCCAGTAAAATGTTAATGGTTTGGCAAATCTTTCCTTTTTATAGTGATTTCTTTGCTATTTCAGCTGAATTGCTGTATATTTTTGCCAGTTTAAAATGTTTTGTGTTACGGCTTATCTAGATAGCTTAACTGGTACAATTTTTTTTAATTTAGACAATACTAAGGCAGTACCATCAGTTTTTTGTTTGTCACTTAATAAAATGTTTTGATTTTCTCAAAAGTCCTGTTTTTCTCTGCATCAAAGAAAACTATTCAAAAATACTGCCTTCATTTTCACACACAGTGCTGAAGATGCTGCAAGCACCAAATCATAGCTCATAAAATCAGGTCCTGAGATAGTTACTTCCAATAAAGAGGATTCCTTTGAGTGTATGGCCATGGTGAGCCGATGAGCATGGACCGTAGAAGGGCTCCATGTAGAAGGTAAAATTGGCAAAATACCGATTTTAAATGTATCCCATACTTAATGGTGTAGGGTATAATTTGCCTGTTTTAATCGCTTCTCATTCTTTTAAGTGCTATTTGCTTGACATAAATGTTCCGTAATTTGTTATGTGGTAATAATACAAGCCATCTATCAATTTACACATTGCTAAATAGTCAAGCATAGATATGTTTTGCATTTCACAACTAAATTTAATAGTTGTACTTGAATACCCTCAAGCCACTTCATTTTTTGTTGTAGTTCAACATGTCAGATTTCATTTTTATTGGGAACTAGGTTTGTGTTGTGCTGTTGAGCTGCTAAAGAACTTCATCTGTGCTGGATTTCATTACCCCATTTTAAAACCAAGTTTTATTTTTGCCACTCCATTTTTATAAACATAGCTTAAATTGTAGTACAATTCAAGGAAAGGGAAGAAATAGAAAAGATTAATATTTCTGACATAGGAGGTGATTTAACAGTCTAAGCATTATTTTCTCATTGTGCTAGTGGAACTTAGGCATCTTCTGACGTTGTGTAGCTTTGCTGTTCAGTTTCAGTCTTTGATTTCTTTCAGGAACATTATTAGTTTTCTTGAGCAGTTCTTGTGATTTGGCAGAAGAAATAAATGCAGTTTTTAAATATAGAATGTTAGAGTACCCTGACTAGAAGCAGATGTGAGTAATGCATGCGTCTAAAGGAAATAAAAGAACATCTTTACATTTCAACTGAGTGATGCTCACAGATCACTGTTGAGTGTGCATTCTGTATAGTCAAGCTTTGCTGATTTAAAAATAATTCCTTAGCTATATCTTTTGTATAAATTACATGTTGTAGGGGCAAGGTAGGCTGTATCATTCACTAATCATCCTCTTTCCACAAAATATTTTGAGCAACTGGGGAGCCTTTCTTTTTATAAGATTAAGAGTATAGAGCATCTAGGTCTCTTGCATACTAGCATTTCATAAAGCAAGACACTGGGCCTGCATAATGCATACAACAAATCCACTTTTCCTACTCGTAGTATCCTTAAGTTTATGCAACCTTTATCTTATATGCATGCAAGATGCATTTTCGTCCTGAGAGAGTGTTCTCTACAGAAACTACCCGTGTTTTTAAAAAAGAAGATTGTCTTTAAAAGGCTACTGTGATGGGAAGTATCTTAGGGAGATGCAGCTTGGACTTGAGGTAAATCAAATGCTTTATGCTGTGTTGTGTTGAACTTGCAATAAGACATTGTATGTATTCATGAAAATACGTTTAATTGTAATGTTTTTGTATGCATTCTCAATAAATGTAAACTAATGGGTAATTTGTCTTGTCTCTCTCTTCTGTTCTTCAGTCACTTTTCATCTGAAAAAGATTCCAAATGCCTTTGACGCATAATCGTGTATTTCTAGGTTGGGGGATAACTAACCCTTGTGGACAAAAAGCTGGAGGGTTACGGAGAGGCATAATTGCCATAGGCTATCACACATTCTTGTACTAGTAGAATTTCAGCAGATGAAAGAGGGAGGCCAGTTTTATCCAATTTTGTATCTTCTCTGCCATGTGGTGATTTGTCTGTAAGCCTCCCAAGGCAATGCCTTTATGGGAGGATGTGCCTGTGTGAGATGGAAAGTAGGAGAAGATCTACTTCATAAGATACAATTCCATTGTATGTCCAAGAATTTTAGGTAGGAATGAATGACCATTACCTTTCTGAAATGATGAAAAGTCACATGAGACTCAGCATAGGTTTATTAACCTTCCAATTAATTCAGAACACAGCATAGGGAATTTGGTACATAAGATTTAAAAAGCCAGTTACAGTCTGTATAAAATTTTATTCTAACTTTTACTTTTTCTAAAACTTGCCCAATTAAATGTAGCCAAAATCTAGCGGAGAATTCTGTTATTTGCTCCATATCACTAAATTCTTTCCAGTGTATATGGTAGTTTGCATTGGAATTTAGTTTGCAGCTTTCCATTAGCAAATCTGTAATGACTACTTATTTTAAGTACGTATGAAAACCTTATTTACTGGTAATGCTATTTGTATATACTGTAGTGAGATGATTCAGTACAAGAGGTTCAAGTTGAAAAGTCATCCAGTATCATAATAATGTTTAACTACTGAATACTACAACTTTGGTTCAGTATTATAAGCAAGATTCTGGACAATATCTAACTTCTAATACAAAATTATAAATTCAAATATTTCATATAACTTTGACAACTGCATATACATGATAAGTACATAAATCTGCTTTCAAGCCACTATTTTAATTTTATGTTATTCAAGCAGATTAAAAGGAAAATATTCCATTAAACAAGAAACCAATTAAATAAATGACTAAAAATTGGCTACTAAATTTTACTAAACATTTTTTCCGCACTAACAGTTTCCAGATCAAAGAAATTGAGGGCAATATTAATGTAGAATAATTAATTGGTCTTTGTGGGAACAACACGGTTTTGCTTTTCCCTGTGTCTTTGCCCTAATTTCACATGTGCAAACCATGGCATGAAAACTGCAATGCCAAAAATCCAGAGGCTCTTCCAGGCAGAAGACTACTTGTGTGAAGCAGTTCACCGTGCACTTGTTTTTCACTACACTGTTTTTATTCTGAAATCATGAAGACTAGTATAATGACTAAGTAGGCTGTATCACATGAAGCCTGTCGGGAATAGCCTTGATTGTGTGAAGCAACACATTAGTAAGGGGTGGGGTGGGGTTGAGCCATTATGCTTCAGGTTACAAAACTTGTCAAATAAGTCTGAAATACAGAAGCTTAAAACAGGCAATTGGGTATCTTGTTTCAGGAATGACAGACATTTTTCTTGTTGGCCCCACCACAGAGAGAAAGAAATAAATGCAATAAATTTAGAGAAGGAAGGCTCCAGAAAAGGCTATTAATAGTCATCAGCTAGAAGAAGAGAAGAGAAAAAGAGAGTGTTAAGAACTGATTTAGAAAATAATGATGTGAATCGTCATTAAAATGCTAAGTCTTACTTTCAATGGTGAGAATACAGGTGCTAGCTGCTGTTCCTCTGCTGTTTACTGCTTTACACATATATTCTCCTTCATCTTCTGGGAAAGTTTCTGGTAAGTAAAGACAGTAGGTTTCTCCTCTCTCAATGTATTGATAGTCCTCACAGTCCTGCAACATTTCCCCTTCAAACCACCATGTAATTTCTGGTTTGGGTTCTCCAGTTATTTTGACAGTAAATCTTACTGGTTCACCATCCACAACTGACACATTTTTAAGAGGCTTCTTGAACCATGGGGCTCCAGACCTTGCTTGCTGCTCCTCATCTTCATAAACTGAGCCATTAACAGTGCTCCCATCATCGTCTTCCTCTTCTTCTTTTTTCTGCATTTTAAAATAGGAATTATGAAAACTATCATGCTTCATACAATACTGGTATTGTACAATACTTAAATCAGAAGTTCCCAAGTTTTCTGAGCATGTGGGGAGATCTTTGGAATTCTGACACAGGAGGCAGGAACTCTTCAACATTTCAGACAGAAGCTCTGCTTAACAGGATGCGTTTTAAAATGAACAATGTGTGAAAATATTTTATTGTAACACATGACTTACCTTCAGTCATTCAGTAAAGATCTTTGTGCTGTTGCCAAGGTGATGTTTTCTGAATTTGCAAGCCAATCAGAAGCCCTACTGGCCGCCTCTCCTTTCTAAAAATACTTGATACACCTCATTCTGTATCATGACCTAGATCATACACATATATTCCATTCATTTCTCAATACTGCACTTGAATATGAAGTTGGGAAACAAATCTGACAGGTACCATCTTGTTCCCGTAGTTCCTTCAAGCTCCCTTCTCCCATAAAGAAGTGCTATTCACTTACAAAGAAAAGTACAGTACTGTATGTGGGCCCAACACAGTAGGAGTCCTCCACCTTTACCAACAGTTGGCTTGTTCTGGCCTTGGTCTCAGCTCACTCAAGGAGAGTGTATTTCAAAAAAGGAGAATGTATTACAATGTAAATAAGCCCCTTGCTGCCTCAACACACCACATTTTGCTAGTTTTACAAACGATACTGTTTTAGGTACCTTTTGTAATGCTGCATCAATTTCTTTCTGTTCAAATTGCATCCGTAAAAGTTTCTGTTCTTCAATTCTCCTCTGTTCCTCTTCCTCTCTTGCCTTTGCCATTTTTTCAAATCGAGCTTTCATGTTGACCTTGTGTGTAAATGGAGCTTCAGATTTTGTGGCTGGCTTCACATCTACTTCATCTTCCTAAGAGAATTGAACATAAGAACAGCCAATGTTGGATCAGGTCAATGGCCCATCCAGTCCAACACTCTGTCACACAGTGGCCAAAAATATCAGGTGCCATCAGGAGGTCCAGCAGTGGGGCCAGGACACTAGAAGCCCTCCCACTGTTGACCCCCCCCCCAAGCACCAAGAATACAATGCATCACTTGCCCCAGACCGAGAGTTTCTATGTATACCTCATGGCTAATAGCCACTGATGGACCTCTGCTCCATATGTTTATCTAATTCCCTCCTGAAGCTGTCCATGCTTTTAGCCGCTGCCACCTCCTGTGGCAGTGAATTCCATGTGTTAATCACTCTTTGGGTGAAGAAGTACTTTTATCTGTTCTAACCCGACTGCTCAGCAATTCCAATGAGTGCCCATGAGTTATTGTATTGTGAGAAAGGGAGAAAAGAACTTCTTTCTCTACCTCATACATAATCTTATAAACCTCGATCATGTCTCCCCTCAGCTGTCGTTTCTCCAAGCTTAAAGAGCCCCAAGTGTTTTAACCTTTCTTCATATGGAAAGTGTTCACACCAGGCAGACAAGTCACCATACAGTCAGTACGTGGGTTCGCCACCCAGCTGTCTACCTGCCTAACAATTGCATCACCAACTACCAAGAGCCCCCCTCCCTCCCTGCCAAGGGATGGTTCCTTGGTGCAAAAGGATACCCGTTCACCAGCTGAAGAAGAGGTCCCTTCTGAGGGCACATTCCCTTTATCCGCAGCACAGTGCCCTGTTTCCTCTCTACCTTCATGCTTCCTGACAGCGGCGGGGCTTCCATATTCAGAGTGGGACATATCTACGAAGTCCCCGAGAGTCTTCTCCATGCGCCTTACTGTTTCTGCTTCTCTAGGTCAGCCACCTTCGCCTCAAGGAAGCAAATTTGTTCCCTGAGAACCAGGAGCTCCTTGCACCGGGCACACACCCAAGACTTCTGTCCAGTGGGCAGATAGTCATACATGTGACACTCCATGCAAAAAACTGGATAGCCACCAACCCCCTGCTGGCATTCTGGCTAATTGCTTGAAAAAATAATTATATATAACCCCCCTTTTAAAACCCTTTGTATTTATGTTCTCCTTGTAGAAGTCTACTTACCTTACTGGAAACCCAAGGAGACTAGGGCCCTGGCTTTCTGGCTCTTCTTGGGCTTCTAACAGAGTCCCTAGTCTAAGAGCCACTGAGGGCTTGTGCCTCTGGCAAGGTGCTGCCTTAAATAGAAGCCTCCCCTAGCAAGAGGGTGTGGCCAGCAGCTATTCAAATTCACCCAGACACTCAATTACAGTCAAACAATGCCCCTTTCTCACCCTATCTCAAGCAGCCAGGACTCTGAAACAACTCACAACTCTCCCCCCCACACAGTACCCGCAGCTGGAAGCAAATTAAAAAAAAAACCCTCTAGCAGCTCTCTCGTGCTGTTTCTCAGAGCTCAGTTGAAAAACATTAGAGGGAGATGAGAAAAGAAGATAAACACTACACTTCAGCTCAAGACATTAAAATTTAGCTCTTCTAAAGAGAACCATATTACTGCATTTGTTCAACCAGCATGCTGGCTGTAGTAACAAACTGTCACAGAAGACTTACCACCCTGTGTGACCAAGCTCCAGTATACTTTTTAATGGAAAGTATTCATCAAAACAGGGTTGTAGCAAAACCAAGTTATTAAAGACTTGCTAGGAGTGATTGTAGTCTTTCTACGTAGTGTATGTTCAAGTGCTGCTGTAGATAAGTCATCTGCACTACACTAATGAGTAGCAAGTACGTTGTCAGTGTTCTAGCATTCTATAACTTCCATAGCTTCACTGGTACCTACTTATATTTTATGTCTGGTCTAATGTTCAAAAGGTATAGATCTAGTTGCTGACGTACACTTCATGTGCCTTCACACCTTCATAATTTTATTACCTGAAAGGGTGCTGAACAAAGGTCCCTGCAGCATGCATTTGCTTCCTTAACCCACCCCTAAAAATCTGGATCTTGAAAAACAAATCAGATATTAAATTCCACAACATTAATGGACTAAAAGCATTTAAGTTCTCTTTCAAAAAGAGAACAATCTCCATGCTAATGGCAAGGAAAGAACAGTTGTATTAAAGATATGAAAACATGTAGTGTAAGATCGTATATATCTCTTTATAGTGCACTAGGACCATTAAACCATAATAGCAAATATTCTTTTTAATAAGGAGAATGAAGGAAAGAATCAAATGGACCTTGGTGGCCAAATCCATCAGATACTTTATCTCCTACTTTGCAGTAGTGGGGGAAGGAAAAACTGGCCACTGGATTTAAGATACACAGTATACTGATAATTTCACACATTTGATGGGAGTAAATCTGAAGCCTTGTTTGTACTTTCAAACAAACTGAGTAGAAATACATGAATACAATTATCGATGTGATATTCTGACATACTAAGCTCAGGAAAAGCTATTTAACCTGGCAATCTGCATATAGGAGTAGTAACCTCGGCAGTTTTATGTGGAGGGCACCTCTGAGCTGAATAAATGAATAAATATATAAATCGTACATCTGATTAGTAGGTTCTAGACCAAATCAAGCCTGAACTCTCCCTAGAAGCTAAAATGATTAAACTGAGGTCACATTATGAGAAGATGAATCACTGGAAAAGACAATAAAGCTGGGAAAGGTTGAAGGCAGCAGGAAAAGAGGAAGACCGAACATGAGATGGACTCACTCTATAAAGGAAGCCATGGTCCTCAGTTTGCAAGACCTCAGGCAAGGCTGTTTAATGATAAGAATGTTTTGGAGGTCATTAATTCATAGGGTCACTGTAAGTCGGAAGTGACTTGATGGCACAACACACACAGATCTGATTAAGGTATAGTGATGTATGCTGATAAAGCAACTAGTGGCCCCAGAAAGAGACAAGTATTTATTTGTCTCTTCAGATGGGTGCACCCCAGGATACATATTACACCCAAGCTAGTTCATCTGAGCTCAGATGAGCAGGTTGTATTCTT